ATTTGGTTGGATGATAACAGATTTATCTCGGCAAGTAAAACGATTTGATTGGATGATAACAGATTTATCTCGGCAAGTAAAACGATTTGGTTGGATGATAACAGATTTATCTCGGCAAGTAAAACGATTTGGTTGGATGATAACAGATTTATCTCGGCAAGTAAAACGATTTGATTGGATGATAACAGATTTATTCCAGCAAGTAAAACGATTTGGTTGGATGATAACAGATTTATCTCGGCAAGTAAAACGATTTGATTGGATGATAACAGATTTATCTCGGCATGTAAAACGATTTGGTTGGATGATAACAGATTTATCTCGGCAAGTAAAACGATTTGGTTGGATGATAACAGATTTATCTCGGCAAGTAAAACGATTTGATTGGATGATAACAGATTTATCTCGGCAAGTAAAACGATTTGGTTGGATGATAACAGATTTATTCCAGCAAGTAAAACGATTTGATTGGATGATAACAGATTTATCTCGGCAAGTAAAACGATTTGATTGGATGATAACAGATTTATTCCAGCAAGTAAAACGATTTGATTGGATGATAACAGATTTATCTCGGCAAGTAAAACGATTTGGTTGGATGATAACAGATTTATCTCTGCAAGTAAAACGATTTGATTGGATGATAACAGATTTATCTCGGCAAGTAAAACGATTTGATTGGATGATAACAGATTGATCCCGGCAAGTAAAATGATTTGGTTGGATGATAACAGATTGATCCCGGCAAGTAAAACGATTTGGTTGGATGATAACAGATTGATCCCGGCAAGTAAAACGATTTGATTGGATGATAACAGATTTATTTCGGCAAGTAAAACGATTTGGTTGGATGATAACAGATTTATCTCGGCAAGTAAAACGATTTGGTTGGATGATAACAGATTTATCTCGGCAAGTAAAACGATTTGGTTGGATGATAACAGATTTATCTCGGCAAGTAAAACGATTTGGTTGGATGATAACAGATTTATCTCTGCAAGTAAAACGATTTGATTGGATGATAACAGATTTATCCCTGTAAGTGAAAGGATTAAATCTGCTGATTTTAAATACATCCATGTTTTAGATGTATCAATAGAAGTACGTTAATAGCCACAATACGATAGGAATTTGAAGAATCTCGATGTCACACAGGAAATATTTTTATTGTTCTGTTAATCAGAGATTTTACTACAGAGCCATTTATCACTTACAGAACCAGATTCACCGTCGCCATTACTATAGTAATCCCAACACTGTCTGTCAGGGTAACGTGCCCGGCCAGTTAACCACTTCTGTTGCTTTAAAAACGGGAACCCTATATCAACATTAGGAACATGGACATGATGTTTTGATAATGATATTGGCGAACGTGAAACTTACTAAATCAAGTAAAAAGGTAGATTAGTTCCTTCGTATTCGTTGCTATTCACTGGATAATCTAATCAAATTTTCTGTCGTATTTGTTTTCTTTAGTCTGCAAATGGAATTGAATAAAAAAACACCAACGACATTACTTTGAATTTTAAGGAAATTATTTGATCTCAAGTTTGAAGAAAGGAAACAACTGATAGAACAGACCGAATATCCCATTCTAGAGTAGACAGAAAGAATATCACATTCTAGTGTAGACAGACAGAATATCACATTCTAGTGTAGACAGACAGAATATCATATTCTAGTGTAGACAGACAGAATATCATATTCTAGAGTAGACAGACAGAATATCATATTCTAGAGTAGACAGACAGAATATCATATTCTAGTGTAGACAGACAGAATATCCCATTCTAGTGTAGACAGACAGAATATCACATTCTAGTGTAGACAGACAGAATATCATATTCTAGAGTAGACAGACAGAATATCACATTCAAGAGTAGACAGACCGAATATCACATTCTAGTGTAGACAGACCGAATATCACATTCTAGAGTAGACAGACAGAATATCACATTCTAGAGTAGATAGACAGAATATGACATTCTAGTGTAGACAGACAGAATATCACATTCTAGAGTAGACAGACCGAATATGACATTCTAGAGTAGACTTACCGAATATCACATTTTAGAGTAGACAGACCGAATATCACATTCTAGTGTAGACAGACCGAATATCACATTCTAGAGTAGACAGACAGAATATCACATTCTAGAGTAGACAGACAGAATATCACATTCTAGAGTAGACAGACAGAATATGACATTTTAGAGTAGACAGACAGAATATCACATTCTAGAGTAGACAGACAGAATATCACATTCTAGAGTAGACAGACAGAATATCACATTCTAGAGTAGACAGACAGAATATCACATTCTAGAGTAGGCAGACAGAATATCACATTCTAGAGTAGACAGACAGAATATCACATTCTAGAGTAGACAGACAGAATATCACATTCTAGAGTAGACAGACAGAATATCACATTCTAGAGTAGACAGACAGAATATCACATTCTAGAGTAGACAGACAGAATATCATATTCTAGTGTAGACAGACCGAATATCACATTCTAGTGTAGACAGACAGAATATCACATTCTAGTGTAGACAGACAGAATATCACATTCTAGAGTAGACAGACAGAATATCACATTCTAGAGTAGACAGACAGAATATCACATTCTAGAGCAGACAGACAGAATATCACATTCTAGAGTAGACAGACAGAATATCATATTCTAGTGTAGACAGACCGAATATCACATTCTAGAGTAGACAGACAGAATATCACATTCTAGAGCAGACAGACAGAATATCATATTCTAGTTTTAGAGATCACATCCAATCCCTAAACAAACGTCTTGGATGTGGAACTTACACGTTAGACATTTCAAAATGATTCGTGTCATCAACAGCGACAGATGTAGGTCGCCGCCATATTTTCAGCTGCGAAGGAACTTGTGACAAGCTAAACTATGTTTCAGCGTTTTATTGGAAATCTCTGAGTGACATGAATAAGTAACATTTTCTATGTGAATATGTTAAAAATTAATCAACATTGAATTGTATTTTTGTGTTTACATGTTATAATGAGTAGTGTTCACGGAAAGCCTGGCCAGCTTCCTCGTCTTATGTTTGTCCTAAACATGCCAGTAATTTGGCTATTTGTTGTTAAAGATTGTGATAAATAGAATATTTAACCATGTGTTCAGTAATAACAAATACATTTAACTACTGTGTCTAATATTTTGTATCTTTGACTGGTGTGCCCACTCAGATTCAGATTCTAAGGCAGACGAATTTTGTCATCAGCTTGAAATAAACGTCTATATAGTAAAATCACTGGGTTCACATCAGCCTTGGATGTTCCGATAAACACACGTTTGTCGTCATCAGTCGGTAAGTATGTCTCGTGTAACTAAAGACCTGTTGGTTTCAGTAATATCTCGCCGCTACCTAATAAAAGATCAATGTTATAAAAGAAGAGTAATCGAACCTAACTTATTGGCTCTTACCGTGATAACCACCCTACTACCGACAGTCGGTCTCCCTAACACCCACTGGCTGTTTAAATACTACATGCGGGATTAATGACGAGGATGTTCCTCCAAGTTAAGGCGGTGTCAGTAACCGATGCAGATAGAGAACAACAGAAGGTATCTACAAAAGTGCTTTGGAATCAATTGAGCGCAATTAACAGATCGTTCCAATTTTACAAGCACGTGACCTTCAAACACTTGGAAGTAAATCTGCTGCAAAGGTCGAATTCCTCGAACTGTCGACATTGTTCGACGAGAACCAGACAGAACTATCAAAATCATTATAAAGCAGTTGGAATGAACTCCCAGAGACTGACCTGACTGTTGTTCAGTTGAGTCAGCAGTAAGTACGACGTCGGGGTTGATCGTGAGAAGTCACTGAAACATTTCCGTGATATAGCTGTATGTTGTAATATCACTGACGAGTCTTAGAAGGATGAAACAGCTGTATGCTGTAGCATCACTGACAAGTCCTAGAAGGACGAAACAGCTGTATGCTGTAGCATCACTGACATGTCCTAGAAGGACGAAACAGCTGTATGATGTAGCATCACTGACGAGTCCTAGAAGGACGAAACAGCTGTATGCTGTAGCATCACCGACGAGTCCTAGAAGGACGAAACAGCTGTATGCTGTAGCATCACTGACGAGTCCTGGAAGGACGAAACAGCTGTATGATGTAGCATCACTGACGAATCCTATAAGGACGAAACAGCTGTATGCTGTAGCATCACTGACGAGTCCTAGAAGGACGAAACAGCTGTATGATGTAGCATCACTGACGAGTCCTAGAAGGATGAAACAGCTGTATGATACAATTTGATTCATTATTCGGCTATACTGTGTCCGATTTTGTGGTGAAAGAAAGTATTCTCTAGTGTCTTTTGTACCCAGGTTTGCAATGACTATTTACACTAAGTGTGGTGATATCGATATTGTGAATGATCCATATTCAGATAACAACATTCCTGCATCCCCATCCTACATGTAGGATATTAACAGCTAGACTTGATGCGATATTCTAAGGTCTGTTCCCATCATCGCTATTTTCGTGCAAGATATGTCAGCAACTGACAAACTCGCAAAACACGCCACCGACCCATCAACATACCCACCCAACGACTCACCGACCCATCACCGACCGATTCACCAACCCACACAACCCACCAACCGATCCATCGACCCCGACCCATTCACTCACCCGGCGATTCACCGACCCACCGACCGATTCACCAACCCACTCAACCTACCAACCGACCCATCGAACCCGACCCATTGACCCACCCACCGATTCACCGACCAACCGACCCGCCCACCCACTGACCCACCGATTCACAACTTACCGACCATCAACAGATTCATCAACCCACCAACCGACTCACCCACCCACCGACCCACCGATTCACCAACCCACCAACCGACCCACCGATCCACCGACCAACCGATTCACCAACCCACCAACCGACCTACCGATTCACCAACCCACTCCACCACCCACAAACCGACCAACCCAATGACCCACCGATTCACCAACCCACAAACCACCGAGCGATTCACCAACCCACTGACCCACCCACCAACTGACCCACCGATTCACCAACCTACCAACCGACCCACCGATTCACCAACCCACCAACTGACCAACCCATTCACCAACCCACCAACCACCGACCGATTCACCAACCCACTGACCCACCCACCAACCGACCCATCGATTCAACAACCAACCGACCCACCGATTCACCATCCCACCAACCACCAACCGATTCACCATCACACTAACCACCGACCGATTCACCAACCCACTGACCCACCCACCAACCGACCCACCGATTCACCAACCCACCAACCGACCCACCGATTCACCAACCCACCGACCACCCACCGATTCACCAACCCACCGACCACCGACCGATTCACCAACCCACCAACCGACCAACCGATTCACCAACCCACCAACCGACCTATTCACCAACCTACCAACCGACCCACCGATTCACAATTCCACCAACCACCAACCGATTCACCATTCCACCAACCACTGACCGATTCACCAACCCACCAACCACCGACCGTTTCACCAACCCACCAACCACCCACCAATACTTTCTATACATTCACCTGATAGTAAGCCTGAATTGACCACACTGTTGTAATGGATACAGCTATGACACCTAGCATCTCGAGGTAGAACACTGTCACAGCTCATAAAACACACCCGATACTGTTTCTTTTAAACTTTAAATTTATTTTGTGAAATATTCTTATTTTATTGTGTTGATGGAAACCCGCAAGATGTGCCAGTCTGTGAAATTAGCCATCATATTGTGCAATTTGTCTGAGACGACACGAATTATTAACGAATCGTTGAACGGACGTGTGAATATACAATTTACTGTATAGATACATACTCGTTACCATCGTAATATGGCTTCGAGGCTAACATGGCGGCTAATTGTTCGTTTGATGTGGATGTGACGCAATAAACCACGGCAGTATGGAGTCTTTAAGATTAGCTTCAAACATTAATCACGCAAAACGAAAACGTAACAAGTGAAGAAATATTGTTATTATGATTAAAGACGTTCCATTATTAAGATTTAGTACCACTGGTGGATACATTTCATTGTAACAATTTGTGAAGGTTCACAGGGATAGGCTATGTCGAGGTACTGGGTATGCCATTACGTTAGATGGTAAGTAGAAACATTATCAAATGTCGTAAATTGGGTTACTATAAAGAAATGTTCTTGCTTTTGTTTTACATAAAGAGAAGATGTCGTAAGCAGGGGATATCGTCTTGTTGTTTTATGTAAAGAGAAGGTGCCGTTATGTCCCTTTTTCATTAAGTGAATATGTCATGCTGATGTTTTCCATGAAGAGAAGATGCCGTCATGTCCCTTTTTCATTAAGTGAATATGTCATGCTGATGTTTTCCATGAAGAGAAGATGTCGTCATGTTCCTTTTTCATTCAGTGGACATGTCATGCTGTTATTTTCCGTGAAGAGAAGGTGCCGTCATGTCCCTTTTTCATTCAGTGGACAGTCATGTCATGCTGTTGTTTTCCATGAAGAGAAGGTGACGTCATGTCCCTTTTTCATTCAGTGGATATGTCATGCTGTTGTTTTCCGTGAAGAGAAGATGACGTCATGTCCCTTTTTCATTCAGTGGACATGTCATGCTTTTTTTTTCATGAAGAGAAGGTGACGTCATGTCCCTTTTCCATTAAGTGGACATGTCATGCTGTTGTTTTCCGTGAAGAGAAAGTGCCGTCATGTCCCTTTTTCATTCAGTGGACAGTCATGTCATGCTGTTGTTTTCCATGAAGAGAAGGTGACGTCATGTCCCTTTTTCATTCAGTGGACATGTCATGCTGATGTTTTCCATGAAGAGAAGATGTCGTCATGTTCCTTTTTCATTCAGTGGACATGTCATGCTGTTATTTTCCGTGAAGAGAAGGTGCCGTCATGTCCCTTTTTCATTCAGTGGACAGTCATGTCATGCTGTTGTTTTCCATGAAGAGAAGGTGACGTCATGTCCCTTTTTCATTCAGTGGACATGTCATGCTGATGTTTTCCATGAAGAGAAGATGTCATGTTCCTTTTTCATTCAGTGGACATGTCATGCTGTTATTTTCCGTGAAGAGAAGGTGCCGTCATGTCCCTTTTTCATTCAGTGGACAGTCATGTCATGCTGTTGTTTTCCATGAAGAGAAGGTGACGTCATGTCCCTTTTTCATTCAGTGGACATGTCATGCTGTTGTTTTCCGTGAAGAGAAGATGACGTCATGTCCCTTTTTCATTCAGTGGACATGTCATGCTTTTTTTTCATGAAGAGAAGGTGACGTCATGTCCCTTTTCCATTAAGTGGACATGTCATGCTGTTGTTTTCCGTGAAGAGAAAGTGCCGTCATGTCCCTTTTTCATTCAGTGGACAGTCATGTCATGCTGTTGTTTTCCGTGAAGAGAAGGTGACGTCATGTCCCTTTTTCATTAAGTGGACAGGTCATGTCATGCTGTTGTTTTCCGTGAAGAAAAGGTGCCGTCATGTCCCTTTTTCATTAAGTGGACATGTCATGCTGTTGTTTTCCGTGAAGAGAAAGTGCCGTCATGTCCCTTTTTCATTCAGTGGACAGTCATGTCATGCTGTTGTTTTCCGTGAAGAGAAGGTGCCGTCATGTCCCTTTTTCATTCAGTGGACAGGACATGTCATGTCATGCTGTTGTTTTCCGTGAAGAGAAGGTGACGTCATGTCCCTTTTTCATTAAGTGGACAGGTCATGCTGTTATTTTCCGTGAAGAGAAAGTGCCGTCATGTCCCTTTTTCATTCAGTGGACATGTCATGCTGTTGTTTTCCGTGAAGAGAAAGTGCCGTCATGTCCCTTTTTCATTCAGTGGACAGGACATGTCATGTCATGCTGTTGTTTTCCGTGAAGAGAAAGTGCCGTCATGTCCCTATTTCATTAAGTGGACATGTCATGCTGTTGTTTTCCGTGACGAGAAGATGACGTCATGTCCCTTTTTCATTCAGTGGACATGTCATGCGGTTTTTTTTCAATGAAGAGAAGGTGACATCATGTCCCTGTTCCATTAAATGGACATGTCATGCTGTTGTTTTCCGTGAAGAGAAGATGACGTCATGTCCCTTTTTCATAAAGTGTACATATCATGCTGGTTTTTTCCATCAAGAGAAGATGACGTCATGTCGCTTTTCTTTAAAAATGACATTATTTTGTTTTGCACAAACAGAAGATGTCGCACTGTTGCTAACTATAAAAAAAGAAAATCGTCTCAGTTACTATTTTTGTTTCTCGATTTTTTTTAGTCGTCGCCATGTCCGTCCGTTCGAAGCATAACTTTACCCATAGTTAAGGAAGGATCATGCAACTTGGTGAATACATTGATCATACTAACGCAATGTGCTGTGTACCAAATTTAGTGTCATTGACCCCTCAATTTCAGAGTAATTGCTCTTTGTTTTAAAAAGTCTTGTCCAGAGAATAACTTTGCTTTCATTTAAACAAGGATAATGAAATTTGATGTATACATTAATCATACAAGAAGTGTGCAGTCTAATGTGTCCGTATGTGTTAGCGCTGTAGTTTGTCCTCATGCGCGGAAGTTTGAGTAAAATCAGCTGATGTGTTAACTTTTTTTTCTATTTTGATCTTGTGTATCATTTCTGAGTAATCGTTTTGTACACAGTGTACTATCCCTTTAGTATCAGTTCTTGTATGTCTTTTTGGTCTAAATGTGTTGACGTGACGTTACTGTTAAGAAAATGGAAATTATCAAGAGAGTCTGTTTCTACTGAAAGTTATGTTATATATAGCTGGCACCCATTTAATTTAAACGAGAAGCAGCTGACAGAAAACGTTTCTATAGACTCTTGAATTCAGATTTAATACGGATACTATATATGAATAAAGAGCTGGCGTTTTTCAACTAATCGGATGCCTGGCGGGTTCCGAAATTGTAATACATGTCGTTGGCTTTGTCAGTGATAAAATGTGTTGTATAGGGATTCTGACAGCGGGAAAACATCGCCTTCCAAAATGAATAAGATACATGCATTTTTTACCTGGCAATCCATCAATGTAGACATTTATCAGGCACTGTCTTGTGGTTTTACTGAAGACACTCTCAGATTATCTCCAACAAAATATTTGCTTTACCCTTCAGTATGTTCGATGATGAAACAACGAGGACGTGTTTTAACTTTGGAACTTTGTAAAATTGATCAAGTTTAGAGAGATTGCACAAGAGACACACAGTTGAATAGTACTCGATAGTGATCCTAACGGCTAAAAAATAAAACCTAGGATGCGAATGGGTAAACATCAATACTGATCGAAAAAGTAATGGAGATATTTCACGTGTCACAGTGACAGGGACCTACTGTAACTCTATTACACGTGTTACAGTGACAGGGACCTACTGTAACTCTATTCCACGTGTCACAGTGACAGGGACCTACTGTAACTCTATTCCACGTGTCACAGTGACAGGGACCTACTGTAACTCTATTCCACGTGTCACAGTGACAGGGACCTACTGTAACTCTATTCCACGTGTCACAGTGACAGGGACCTACTGTAACTCTATTCCACGTGTCACAGTGACAGGGCCTACTGTAACTCTATTACACGTGTTACAGTGACAGGGACCTACTGTAACTCTATTCCACGTGTCACAGTGAAAGGGACCTACTGTAACTCTATTACACGTGTCACAGTGACAGGGACCTACTGTAACTCTATTCCACGTGTCACAGTGACAGGGACCTACTGTAACTCTATTCCACGTGTCACAGTGACAGGGCCTACTGTTACCCTATTTCAAGTGTTACAGTGACAGGGACCGACTGTAACTCTATTTCACGTGTTACAGTGACAGGGACCCTATTTCACGTGTCACAGTGACAGGGACTGACTGTAACCCTATTCCAAGTGTAACAGTGACAGGAACCTACTGTAACTCTATTCCACGTGTCACAGTGACAGGGACCTACTGTAACTCTATTCCACGTGTCACAGTGACAGGGACCTACTGTAACTCTATTCCACGTGTCACAGTGACAGGGACCTACTGTAACTTTATTCCACGTGTCACAGTGACAGGGACCTACTGTAACTCTATTCCACGTGTGACAGTGACAAGGACCTACTGTAACTCTATTCCACGTGTCACAGTGACAGGGACCTACTGTAACTCTATTCCACGTGTCGCAGTGACAGAGGCCTACTGTAACTCTATTCCACGTGTCACAGTGACAGAGGCCTATTGTAACTCTATTCCACGTGTCACAGTGACAGGGACCTACTGTAACTCTATTCCACGTGTTACAGTGACAGAGGCCTACTGTAACTCTATTCCACGTGTTACAGTGACAGGGACCTACTGTAACTCTATTCCACGTGTTACAGTGACAGAGGCCTACTGTAACCCTACTTCAAGTGTTACAGTGACAGGGACCGACTGTAACCCTATTTCACGTGTTACAGTGACAGGGACCTACTGTAACTCTATTCCACGTGTTACAGTGACAGAGGCCTACTGTAACCCTATTTCAAGTGTTACAGTGACAGGGACCGACTGTAACCCTATTTCACGTGTTACAGTGAC